GATAAGTTAACTCAGTTACACCCAGATAGACTGGTGCATCAGTATTAGCATGGCAGGCTCATCACTGGAAACACTGAATTAGCATAGGAGACTTCAAACATTATGCATCACTGTATGTTAAGAATCTCCGCACAGATGGTGTAGTCAAGTCAGTGTTATAACCTGTGTGTATATGCACATGTGAGTCTGCTTACCATCTGCCTCAGTGGCCTCTCGGGCTTCTCTCTCCAGTCTCTGTCGGAGGAGCTCCTGCTGTTTGGCCAGGTACTGCTTTATAAAGCTGTTCTGACTCATCTCCTCTCCAATCTGACACATACACAGAAAGAAACTCCAATCAAGGTCATCTCATTCACAATTCCTGGAGCCAATAAGAATGACAAACATGCAGTAAGCATGTAATAGATATTCAAGAGGCTATGTGTGACATATTCGTGTGATTAAAATGAAAAATTTATTTGATGCCAGTCTCACTAATTTAATAATGCAATTTTGTATTTTAACATTGAAAAAATGTTGTATGGATAATCAAGTAAGCCCAAGTTGCTTCACTACGGTTAAATTTATGGGCATTTTTAAAACATACTAAAAGGCCCTTTACTTACTAAAAAGTATCAACTATCAGTAATAGATTATAGGCTACAGGTTGTGTGCAACAAGTTTTGACCATGTTGATAATTTAGAAGACTTACAAATGAATGCAAGCTTTATAGATTTTTTTAGGAAGGCTGAAGTTACAATGTAGTCCAGTTCTACATTTGTTGAAACATCTAAACCACCTAAGACAGTGACTTAAACTATAATTCTATAAATCTATAAATGACACAAACGAGAAGAAAGGGTTCAAATGTCTTTCTTACCTGAGAGTTGGGGCCAGGTACTGCTTTATAAAGCTGTTCTGACTCATCTCCTCTCCAATCTGACACATACACAGAAAGAAACTCCAATCAAGGTCATCTCATTCACAATTCCTGGAGCCAATAAGAATGACAAACATGCAGTAAGCATGTAATAGATATTCAAGAGGCTATGTGTGACATATTCGTGTGATTAAAATGAAAAATTTATTTGATGCCAGTCTCACTAATTTAATAATGCAATTTTGTATTTTAACATTGAAAAAATGTTGTATGGATAATCAAGTAAGCCCAAGTTGCTTCACTACGGTTAAATTTATGGGCATTTTTAAAACATACTAAAAGGCCCTTTACTTACTAAAAAGTATCAACTATCAGTAATAGATTATAGGCTACAGGTTGTGTGCAACAAGTTTTGACCATGTTGATAATTTAGAAGACTTACAAATGAATGCAAGCTTTATAGATTTTTTTAGGAAGGCTGAAGTTACAATGTAGTCCAGTTCTACATTTGTTGAAACATCTAAACCACCTAAGACAGTGACTTAAACTATAATTCTATAAATCTATAAATGACACAAACGAGAAGAAAGGGTTCAAATGTCTTTCTTACCTGAGAGTTGGGCTGAAGACCAATGTGATGGGTAGATGTTCGTTGGAGATTCTCTAACATAAGAGCCTTCACAAACACAGTAGATGATGCACATCAAAAATACAGCTATAGAAAATAGGCCTGCCACATCAAACTTAGTAAACAAACAGTAATTTTCGTAAACACTCTGTTTAGGTTCCTAAATCTGATGAAGCGTGTTGCTTGCTATACAAACCCATTCAATACACTGTTCGTATAAAGAAAAGGTCCGAAAGCTTTGAAAAATATCTCACGACTTACCAGAGCAGCACAACATGACTGCTTGCGATTCGATACAAGAGTCAGTGTGAAGAAGCGTCGTTGAATGAAGTGTTTATATTAACGTCAGTTGTGGGAGTGGCATTAGCCTTTCAAATTATTCACTACGTTAGCACATACTTAGCAGATGACTCCGTTAATCTGACAGTTTACCGGTCGGTCGTTATGCTAATTGTCGATGGAAAATAGGAACCGAAAGACAAAGTCTCTCACGTGAATGCGATTTTGAACGACTGAAAGAAGTGTGAAATACTCCGACCCTCTAAAACGCAGCATTTAAAACCAAATTAGTTGAGTGATTTACATAAAATAGCCTATAGGAATTGCCCAAACTTGATTATCGAGCGTGAGTATCATTTGTAACTTCATTTTTACATTGTAGAAACTCATGGTTATTTCTACCATGTTTATAAATGTTGTGCAAGCGCGCGCCCCCACTGCAAACATGCGACGCGCGGGCACGACGTCAACTCTGAGACCTCGGCTCGTCATGACCCTCAAGACTGTTCAGAAACATCAGTATTGCTGTATTATTTAAATTACGTGTTGTAACTGCATAAGTAATGGAAAACAATTGCTGTGCGACGCGGTAAAACTAGCCGCACGGACTCGACAAACATTCCCGCTCTCGAAGCAGCGATACTTGGCCTGCCTTTCGGGTCTCGTCTCTTACTCAACTTGTCAGCAAGCGCACGGTTTTAAGCCCGCCCTTTGACCAAACTCACCCCTTTCAGCCGTTTGATAAGTGCATTTTTCTGTCCACTTTTGGCGAGCCCTCTTTGCTCCAGGGCGGCTTTTAAATCCGCCACACGAAGCGAATGAAGCGGTTTGCCGTCTAACGTTACATCCTCGAGTTCCGCCATTTTGCTTCACCCGAGCGCTCGAACTTCTGGGGTTGTGGCTAGAAGGGATACAGCAAAAACCTCTAGCCAACTTCTGGGGTCGTGCACGAGCGCCGATCTCTGGAGAGACATAAAAACAACGGATACAAGTGGCCGCACTTTCAACGGTCATGAACGAAGCCTTCTGCTAGGTTTCTTGTAAATTGCAATCTGCATCCAGGTTATTTACAGCAACAGTTTACAATTGCACGCTATCGTCATTTAATGTTGTGACCCCGGTGTCCTTCATAAGTCACTACAAGAAGCATTTTACACAGAAGCACACCTAATTCCGTTTCTAAAACCATCCTAAAATGGTTTGCTGGTCTACCAGGATGTTCTATTTGCTGGTTTAGAGGGGTTTTCAGGACTTTTCACCTGGTTAGGCTGGAAAACCAGTCGGCAGACCAACTAAACCAGCTGAACTTCAACTTGCACTGAAACATACTAAAGCATAAACATTTTAAACAAGAATAATATGACACAGGACAAAACAACTGAAATAGCCACAACTCTGTTCTGTAACAAAAATGTATTTTGAAGAATCTCACCATTTGACAAGCACCAAAGACTCCCTTATATGCAAAGTACCTGTGGAGTGTGTCTTACAAACAAAATGTCAAAATGAACATCAACATAGTGTAAAGAGGCACAAAATATGCATGTCAAAAATACATTCTGGTACCAAATGAAAAGAAAAATCACATTCTTAAAGCAAACTTTGAATTATTAATGCAAAGTTGCATGAAACATCCCTGGTTATGTGTGCATAATTTTTCTTTAATAAGCAACTTAAAGCCATGCAGACGTTTGATTAACAAAATCAAATAAATATAATTATATAGGGCCATCAAATCTAAGCATTACTATAAGCACTTAATTTAAGAACTTGAGACAAACAAGATAAGTGAGTCTTTTGATAGGAACGCTTGCTTGAGGACTATTGTATATTTGTAATGTTTATATATACAGTTATTTTGTACAGACGGACAGGAGAGCTCATTCAAAAGCAGAAATTAAGAAGCTTAAGTCTATCCACCAGAAAATGTTTATAAGTATACTCTGAAGTACCTGTTGAGGTGATGTATTCTTTTCTTTACTTATCCAAGTGGTTTGTGTAGTAATACTGATAAAGTCCACGAGATGGCGCTTTGAGTCAACTAACACACCAACACCAGAGTAAACCATCTAAATCAGCCTCAGAATTCACTTCACTTAATTGGACTTTTCAGCACCTTTTCACACTAAGACCACTGCATCCATTGAGATAGGACTGACAAAAAAATGAAAAACTAAAAAGGTCACTTTTTCAAAAAGGCAGTAATAAAGGGAAGGCTACTTGAGATTTAAACTATGGCATTTTTTATGGCTGAATTATTAAATTGCAAGAGTCAGTAAATGTAAAGATGCAATGAACCAGTCAAACCGAACCAAAGTCGAACAGCAAGAATAGCACTGACAGCACTGCACTGGTGGCCAGCATGTCAATCCTGAATATAAAGAGATGTGGGTATTTACAGACAAAGACGGGGGAAGGAGCCAGAAAAAAGAGAGCAGATGGAGGAATTAACAGATGGAGGAATGGGCTCTGAGACACAGACTATGAGGGCTATAAGAGTCTTGTAAACATGACAGTACATTTATGACACCGACTTGTTTTTCAAGAGAGGAGGGAAACAGGTGCATGTTTCAACCCGTGTAAGCACAGTTCAATGGGTAAGTTACACAAAGCTCATATCTTGTTTGAGTACAAGATTTTGTAAGCACCAGCATTTCAATGCCCACTATGGAAGCTACTAGATATATATTGCTGTTTTCAGAAATGCTGCATAGCCTATTTAAAACAAAAAAAAATCCTGTATGATATTTATTGTGCAAGATTTGTTTCCCAAACTGCTTCACCATTAAGCTGCCTTTATGAGCATGTGCAGAAACCGAATGTGGGAGTGTGAGAATTACGGGAATAAAAAAATAAGTGAGTGAAACAAAGAGTGTGAAGAAAGAGGCTGAGTGGACCTGACAGACAGGTTTATCTCTGAATCAGCATTGTGGGGGGAAAAAACTCTGATATCTCTCCCAAAAATTCAATAAATTGTTGAATCTCATTCATAAAGTACTGTTTTTCTTCATGTGTTTAAATCAGGGCTGTCCAAACTCGGTCCTGGAGGGCCGGTGTCCTGCAGAGTTTAGCTCCAACCCTAATTAAACACACCTGAACCAGCTAATCAAGCTCTTACTAGGCATAGAAACTTCCAGTCAGGTGTGTTGAGGCAAGTTGGAGCTAAACTCTGCAGGACACCGGCCCTCCAGGACCGAGTTTGGACAGCCCTGGTTTAAATAATCAAGTATTCCTTCTTGTTAAACATTTGAAACTAGGTTAGCTTTATCTGTTTTGGTTACATGTGCAGCACAACTGAAACCTCCTGGGCTGTCAAATTAGTCACTTCAATCTCTATAACACCAAGGCCACTTCACATTTACAAACAAACTGAATAATTAGACCAGTTTACAAGAGCACCCTTAAACAGAGAAGACCACTTTTTCCTCATTGTTGTCAATATGGTTAAGGGAACAAAATAAAGCTATTAAAATGTGCCTGAGGTTGCAAACATCTTCAACAAAACAGCCATCAATAAGTTATTAAAACGTATAAGTGTGCTTGGCACCACAAAAAAGGAAAAAAGAAAAAGACCAGTCTGAAGTGTCAAAACCAACACAGGCAAGCAGATACACTCCAACATATACTCACCAACTGTTTGATCATATTATCACTGTTGAACTAACACAAGCAGTGACATGATTTTGATGCATCCTCAAAAAAAATTTTTTTTATAATAAGGCATTCCACTGTGAAAACAATAAAGGTTAACCCGCCCACAAATAACATCAAGATATCTCAGCTAAACGCTGCAAAAGCCCAGAGAAACCAGCTGCATGCTGGGATAGATCGGCTACTCTGTCCACCATTTCTTGCGTAGCAGGGACTGAAGGATAATTCTGGGCTGCACCCTTAGTTGCCACGACAACAGCCTTCAGAGCTTGGCAGAGGCGTCCACTGGAGGTGGTGACCTGAGGAGACAAACAGTGTTTGTGTGTGAATGTCTTTAAATAATGTCACCTGTTTTGCTGGAAACTGACCCGTCAACATGCTTACCAAAAGCTTATTCACTTCCCAGACTGTTCATGTTGACTATTGCCCTTGGGTTATCAACTATGACTCACAATTTGATTTGTTGTGGCGTGAATCATTACATACATTCACTTGTAATCGAGAATTTGTACAAAAACACTTGAACAGAAACTCTCAATAACATTTCTAACCAAAGTATCTATGTTCTAACCTTTGCTCTGAGGTCTGAAGAGCTGAGAAGCCTTGCAAGTGTATCCCCAATAAAGACAAGTTTGTGCGCAGTCACAATGAGGCTTTTCCCCCTGGAAACGAAGACTCGAGGTGGTTGGTTCCCTTGGACACTTGTGAACAGGGAATCGATGGCATCGGCCAGGCAAGAAAGATGAGAGAGACTTTGGGAGGAGTAGAAGGAGAGCAGCTCTGAATCTTCCAGAGACAGAGAGACTGGGGGGGAAAGACTCAGCTGGAGAGAAACAGAGAACAGAGAAGATTATTCATATAAACTTACAAAACACTGTATATAAAGATATAGACCCTTACCTCCTTGAAAATACCTAAAAATGCATAATTACAGGCCTACAGCATAGTTGCAAAGTTGACATTTCAGTATGTTATTTCGAAATTACTCTCTATAAAGTTTCATTAGGCTAAGTTGAAAGTATTTTGGAGAGGTTCAACTATGATTTAATGAATGAGCTATGTTGTAAGTTGAATTCGTCCAAAATTTAGAAAACAATTTTTTTCAACATATTTGATCTGTACTGTGCTCACAATTTTTTTCAACATGTTCAGTGATAAAAAAAAAATGCCAATATTAAAAATAAATAAATAAAAAACTGTGTAAATACAAGACATTATTTACACAGGTTTATAGGTTTTTATTTTTATTTTTAATATTGGCATTTTTTTTTTATCACTGAACATGTTGAAAAAAATTGTGAGCACAGTACAGATCAAATATAAATACATTTACGTCCAAAAGTTTAGGACCAAGATTTTTTAAAATGTTTTTGAAAGTTTCTTATGCTCAGAAAGTCTGGATTTATTCAATTAAAATACAGTCATTAAATTAATTAAATTAACATTAAATTAATACAATTTAAAATAACTGATTTCTATTTTAATATATTTTAAAATGTAATTTATTCTTGTGATGGCAAAGCTGAATTTCCAGCAGCCGTTACTCCAGTCTTAAGTGTCACATGATCCTTCAGAATTCTTTCTAATATGGTGAACTGGTGCTCTAGTAACATTTCTTATTATTATCAATGTTAAAAACAGCTGTGCTGCTTCATATTTTTTGTGGAAACTGAGATAAATTTTTTTAGAATCCTTTGATGAATAGAAAGTTCAAAAGAAGAGCATTTACTTGAAATACAATTTATTTGTAACAATGTAAATATTTACTGCCACTTTTTATTAATATAGTGTATCCTTGATGAATAAAAGAATGGTCTTTTAAATCTTATTGAAACCAAACTTATAAATGGTAGTGTATTTAGGAGATTGCAAAATCTGAACCAAATCAGTCAGCAATGGTGTCTGAGGTAAGGTATTATTTAAGTGTTACAATCTTTCTACAATGGCTTTTTGAGTGTTTAAAATGCAGTGCTCATGCTGAATAAAAGAATGGTCTTTTAAATCTTATTGAAACCAAACTTATAAATGGTAGTGTATTTAGGATTGCAAAATCTGAACCAAATCAGTCAGCAATGGTGTCTGAGGTAAGGTATTATTTAAGTGTTACAATCTTTCTACAATGGCTTTTTGAGTGTTTAAAATGCAGTGCTCATGGTAAGAAACAAAAAAACAGTGAAATGCAATGCAACAGACAAAGATGTCACTGTCACTGAAATGTGTACAGTATATCAACCAACAATTAAAAATAGTGCAGACAAAATGCATAAACACCTCCTGAGTGAACGGTCCTTTAGTGTGTGTGAGTTTTGGGAGTATAACAGACAATCAAAGACTTACTTTATTATCAGTTGTGGTGATAAACTGTGAAGAACTGAGCTCTGTATGGGTGTCTGGTGGTGGCTCTGGCATCCCCTAAAACAGAACAACAACAAAAATGTAAATGTCCACAAAAAGAGAACTGCAGACCACAGAAATGTTTCAACAAAGGCGAATACAAGCACCAAAACATGAACAGATAGTCAAAAGAGAAGTAAAACTCTGACTGAATAAATAAGACAGAATGATAAGTCATGAGAAAATGTAAATATTAAATTAACATTAAAGTTGCTGTTGTTAACTGATGTTTTTGTATCTGACAAGTAAAGTGCTTCGGCCTTTTGCCTGATGAACACTCGTGTTCATACTTGAATAAAAACTGATGTAAAAACATCAGAGTGTGAACATTTACTCTTTTTTTGGCATTATAGCCATGCATAAAACAGGTGTCTAACCTGCAGTTTGACGTATCCCACACTATCACCTACAGGATATGAAGGCGGTGGTGTAGGAGTTAGGCCGATTCCTGCATACTCATTCCCTTGTTCCTCATCCTCCATTCTTCCCACAGTAGGGGCTAAAGAAACTGGTGTCGGGGGCAAAGGGAAGGCAGCGGGTGGTGGAGGCGGCAGCGGTCTTTCCTGGATCCAGCTGCCCTTCCGTGATCCCATGTCCCCTGTGATCGGTTTGACCTCTGCCACCGGCAAAGCAGGTAGAGGTCTCCGGGACAGAGACTCCTGGGAAGGTAAACGAGGTCGCGCTTGACTCTGTAAAAGGGAGACGGAGTCTTCAAGGGCACAGCGGACAATCGTGAGCAGACCGTCGGCTGGAGGGGCAGTGCCACAAACCGAAAGGGCAGGAAGGAGGTCGGAGAGACGGGACCATGCCTGCTGGAGAACTGGAGGAATATCACCAACATGCCCAGCCTTCCAGACAGAAAGGATCTCAGCCAATGCAGAGGCGAGGTCTCGGGATGGGGTGGTGGTGACAGAGGCAGAGGTCAGGGCTGATTGGACAAGAGCAGAGAGAGACGCTTTCCACTGGATGTCCCCAGAGCCGGTGCTTGACACAGATAAAGGGCGTGTCGGGATTTCTAGAGTGAGGGCAGGCATGTCATAGATGCCTCCATCAGGTTCTGACACATCTTCAGAGGTTAAGTCTTGCTTTCTAGTACTGGAAATCGAATAGGTTCGTCCGTTTCCAGCAGTTTCTGCAGTTAATCCCGGCATCTCGCTTGCCTCCAAGGGTAAACCAGGAAGACTGGGAACACTGTACACATCCTCATCCATTGCATCTCCAGCCACAGCAGCCGATCCTGGACTATTGTAGGTTTGCTGCTGATGGTCAGAGGAGGAATTCAGGGCCAGAGTGGGAACATCATAAATCTGAAAGATATGAAAGAGTTACTCACTGTTTACTAATTTTTAAAGAGTTACAACAGATTTTGGATCCCAAACTCCATTCATTTACAAACTACAGTAATTATAACTGCAAGCTGTGCCATAAAGCATGAATCAAGCTGTTTCTTTAACTGTTATGTGGGAGTCTCAGCTACTGTTCAGTTTAAGGCTGGAATACACTACACAACTTCTGAAAAGATTTTGAAACACTAGGCATTATACAGTTGCTGAATTTTTAAATGATTACAGAGAAAAATCGGGCATCATACACTGAACGACTGAAGATCACACACTACAAGACTTTCAAGTAATTCCGAACACAAGAGATTCACTCATAAACATGTCTTGTTGCTAAGAGATGCATGACAAATAAAAATGTGTTTTATAATCAGCTCAAAATATCAGACAAGCTTGATATCCTCCAACTGGATGGAATCATGGTCTGAAGCTAAAAAATCTGAGTCTGTACACTACACGATTTTCTGTGAAACCTGTCAACTCTGACTGCCCAAAATCTGGCAGCCTGTGACTTTAGGCAAGTAGTGTTGACTTCTCCAGACTGCAAATCAGGACAAAAAAGCAGGCAAAAGTTGTGTAGTGTATTCTAGCCTTTAGTATGTGTTCTCTAATAGCTCACAGTTTAATGCCCTTGGAGTGTCTCTTGTGTGTGTTCATCACTATGTCACGAATTCCACTTTGACTGACTAATAATAATAATATATATGGATTAAGAGCAAAAATCCATTATATAGCCACTACATTTATTTACAGTCTCTGCACAAGCACAAAAATCCATTGCTGAGGATTAGTAAGACAAATGAGAGAGGGAAAGGGGAGAGAAAGATTGTGGGTGGAGGGCTGAATAGAGCCACATGGGTCTGGCTGATCTGCGCAACCCGACAGGCGGCTGTGACTTGTGTGAACAAGAGAAAAGTGTTACATGGGATTAGCTCCTAGCAGAAAAAAGGTGTGGTTTAAAAGCAAAGGAATAGGAGAGGAGTGAGAGAATGAGAAACAGAGAACAAGAAAAACAGCAAGAGGAAAAACAAAGGAGAGATTATGTGAAAATGTGGAGATTGTACGTAAATGTGCAAAACCTCTGATATTTAAAAGTAGATGATTTTTTAGCAAATGAATTTTTAAATATATTCTTTTGAACTTTCAATTCATCAAAGAATTCTAAACAGTGAAAATAAGTGAACATTTCTGATTTGATTAGCATAAAAAAAAGCATATTAAAATTATTTCTGAAGGATCATGTGACACTGAAGACTGAAGACAAAATTCAGCCTAGCATCTCAGAAATAAATTATATCTTAAAATATATTGAAATAGAAAACAATTAATTTAAATTGTAATAATATTTCATAATATTAATGTTTTGATTGTATATTTTTATCAAATAAATGCAGCCATGCTTAACATAAGAGACTCCAAACTTTTAAACACCATCAGCTAATGACCATTGCTACTTGGGTGGCTCATGGTCAACCTCAATGTACTACTTTAAATGTGTGGCAGTCCAAAAGAGAAATGAGAGCTTGGAAACAAATCTATCGTATGGCTTCAAAAGACATTGTATGGATACTTCTATGGTGTTTTTTGCCTGATTTTTGCAGCTAGACAACCTCTGTCCTCATTCACTTTTATTGTATGGACAAGAGTAAGATCAACATTCTTCCTAGCATTTCCCTTTAGTGTTTGATTTCTTACCTTTGAGGCCTGGTCAGTGTGTAGGGGTACAGCACGAGGGGTGTTATAGATCCCATCATCCTCCTCAGAAGGCACTGTAGGAACTGGAGGCTGCCACCTATTTGTGGGAGGTGTATCATATACCTGAAGAGAACAAGCATTTAAAATCTTATCTCGCTATCTATTTCATCATCTCTACTATCTCTTCAAAGAAAACTCATCCATCTTCTGCAGAACTACAACCTCTTTCCTTTTTTCCAATCAAGTTCTCATTTATCTCACCTCCTCTCTGAGTTTCTCATCCTGTGAACTTGTACTCTCCCTCTTGGTCACCATTTCCATGTTCTTCTTCATCTCATCCACTTGCATGTGTCCATTTTTACTTCCCTGTCTCTCTTCCTCCAGCATGTTTGTCTGTGGGGGTGCAGGGTTGGCCTGGAGAACAGGTTTGGTGGTTGGAACCGAGTTAGACTGAGGTAAATCCTTCCTGGTCACACTTCTAACAGGAGGTGCTGGCGGAGGGGGTTTGCGGCCAGAGTTTGGGGACCCTGGTGCTCCGGACTTTCCCGCTCTGGTGAGTAGAGGGGATTCCCTTAGGCCACCCTGCGCCAGTTTTCCTCGACCAACAGGAGGAGTTGAAGTAATACGCTTTTGGGATCCTCGGGCAGAGGGAGGTGTCTGCTTAAGATTCTGGCCTGGTGTTGAGGCTCCAGACACTCCTACAGTTCCAGCAGGGTGTTTGCGGTCAGATTGAGGGGTCCTTGATATGGCACCCCCAGGTGAGGTTGGGGTTTGGTAAATCCCTGGGGCATCCTGGCCAGTCTTACTCTGAGAAGGACTAATAGAAGAAGATGGGCTGCTTTTGGGTGCAATCCTATCCGTAAGTCTTGAAGTCATTCCTGGCACACACTGTCCTGCCACTGGGGCACCACTTGTAGGAGTCTGATATAAATTCTCACTGGTCAACGCAGCGACAGCTGCTCTGGGCACCAAGTAGCATCCATCAGAATTACCGGCCCCTGCATCTCGTGGACTTAAATACCTAGCCTCCCCTGCTGTTTCGGCTGCAGACCTGGGAACAGCACTTGGAGTCAGGTACACTGAATCGGATACCAGTGCACCTTGTGATCGGTGTTGTGCCACCAGTGGTGCAGGCGAGGTGGGTGTCTGGTAAAGGGTCCCTGACTCGCCACCTCGTCCTCTAAGTGAGGGTGAACGGGGTCGTCCCGCCACACTCACATCGCCCCAGTCTGGACAAGGCCTGGTTCCAGAACTAGAATGCGATCGTGGCCTTCCTCCATCAGAGTGACGTAGCTCTCCAGACCTGGCAGGGGTAGGAGCAGCCCCAGGGCTCTGGTACACCCCTTCAGCTAAGCTGGGTGGTGAGAGATACACCCCATCTGAATCTTCAGTGCTCAGTCCATTTACCCTGCCCTGGTGGCTAGTCGATAGATGAACTGAGTCCACACTAGGAGCTCGCCGGGTATCTATACCGGTGTTTGAAGCTGGAGTCTGAGCAGTTTGGAGGAGGCGTAATCGATTGGCAGGGGCAATGCCTTGACGGCCATGTAGGGAGCAAAGCCACCACCCTGGTCCACCATCCTGCTCCTGGTCCAGAACCATCAGGATATCACCTTTGCGGAACGCTAACTCCTCTGGGCTTTCAGCGGCATTGTCAAAAAGTGCCTTTGCAAGCACTGTCTATAAGACAATAAAAAAAAACATAAGGAGGAGGAGAAGAAACCAAACAAAGCTTTAAATAAATCCTACCAAGACATGAATCACCTCTGGACTAGCTTCTTAGTCTAGGTTTCTAATAAACCTAGCATTGAAATGCATGAATGTAAATGTAAATAAAACAAAGGCAGCAAAACATAATAAAATCCTGCATAAATAAAAAAGGGAGACAGACAGAAGAAAGGCTTTAACCAAGTCCTTCAATTGGAATGGGGAAGGACAGCAATAGTGAAGGAGAAACGCTAATTTCACTAGACTGCTAGCAACAATATAATTCAATTGTTTAAATTCAATGTACTCAGTTAAAATGAATTTATTTGAGCCTTCAGCTAGTCCACGAGCTGTGTTGTGTTAGTAAGGGAAGTCAAAAACAGGAAACAACGTAGAGCAGTAGACCCACTGTCCTGCAGAGTTTAGCTACAACCCTAATCAAACACACCAGGAGCAGCTAATCAAGCTCCTCAAGATTGCATGAAAATACTACTCAGGCAGGTGTGCTGAAGCAGGTTGGAAATAAACTTTGCAGGACAGTGGGTGCCCAGAAGGAGGGTTGAAGACCTCTGACGTAGAGGATCTAACCTGGCCACTTCAACCAGGTTCATCAACCTGTGTAACCAAATCAATTTGTCTTCCCTTTTACTTAACAAACAGAACTAGCACATCATCATGACAACATAAGGGAAGATTAAGGCCATGGTCAACACTAAAAAAAACCTGATGAGTCTCATAGTTGACTTAAACATTTAAAGAACACACAAATATGGCTTAGATTAAGTAGCTTAAAAAAAGACGGTCAGTACATAGCAATTTAATTGCTGACCTAAATTCTTAGCATACATAAAGCCTACAGAAGAAGAACTGCTCATTTAAATGCGTCTGAAAAGGGCAGCGCATACGAACTGTACAGTTAGAGTGAAATTACGAAAGTAATGGGTTGCCTCAAGGTCTTTTGTATTCAGAACACCACACTACTGCCTTCATGGGTAAATCAATATTGATAGAGAGAATGCATAAGTAAGGGCAGAGGTCTGTGATTATGGGAGAGAATTAGTGATTAAGGGAAAGAGGCGCTGAGTTGATGATAATGAGGAAGACTCGTGGGGGAGGGGCTCAACATCTGTCCCCCAGTTTTAGGTCCTTTTGTCATCCCCTTTTATACCTCTAAATTTCGCTCTCATTCTTTCATTCCCTCCAGGGGATGTGGTGCTCTGAGGCAAGCTGAGCCCCAGTTCCCCCTTCTCCATACTAGCAGTGGATATGAATATTAAGGACTGGACAGCAGAGAGTGTTTTATAGTGGTGACTTAAACACACTTACCGATAGAGACATGACTGAAGCTGGTTCTCCACAGTTTTGGATGCGTTAACTCCACATGTGCTCTCCACAGAAGCTGTATCCCATTCACATGTGCACTGTGTGACTCATCTGCATGTTTTGCAGATCTGGTTTTCCATTAACCTGAACCATGCAGTGGTGGTAAATACGATGGTCTTTATATCCAGAAAGATCAATTTCTCAAAACCATGATTGTTGTCCTTTGCCGTTTGTGACTTTCATCACATCTGACAATTGCCGCACATATTGAACCTGAAGGATCAAAATAAATGCATTTTAGATAAATCTCAATAGTACAGTAGTGTGTGTTAGTAATACAGAGTTCACTTTATGAAACAGTCAGCTGCAGCAGCCAAACTAGTCAGACCAGCTGTGGGGCTCCACCAGTGGAGTTCAGACAAAAAAGATCTTATTTCATGGGAATTTGGCTGTTAACTTTTAAGTACAGCTGTAATGTGGTATTTCAATTTGCCCAGCCTGATTGGACAGAGGATTAAGGGGCTATATGATATCATAACTTAGTAATTATGAGTTAATATAGGTGGAGACATTGTTCCCTATTTGGTCATTAATGTTTGTTTGTATTTTTATTTTTCAGTTTAAAGGAATGAAACCTAAATAAAATCACTTCAGCAGCTGTGGCACAACCGCCTACTAAAGGCTAAGACACTGGCCTTTTGAGACAGGAATCCATAGGATAAATATATATATTTTTAATTAAAAAGATGACAAATTATAGCCCTGTGTACCTAGCGTGTTTCAAGTAATTTTAATAGATTAAACTGCACTAGGCTGCAACAGAAAAAAATAAATAAATCACAGTCCTAAGCCACGTTTCGTTTTCCATCCAAGACGTCTCAAGGTTTCTTTTATGCAGGAGAACTCCAATGAGACAAACAGAGGACTAAATAAACGGAGAAATACAATAAAGAAAACAAGAAAAGCCCCCATTCTCCGGCTAAACCAGTGCCAAAGGCATTAGGCATATAAATAATGTTCTTTCAAAAAACGGGATGCATTTTAATTCAGTCACAAAGACGCAAACAAGCGGCGATCAGCCAGTGTAAAATGTTAACTAAATAAGCAATGCTCGTCTTACCGTTCACATGTCTAGAAATATCATCTGGAAATACAGAAGTAGAGTCAAACCTGGCAAATCATATCTTCTCAAAAGACTGTAATGCACGGCTGTTGTTTTTCTTTTCTTTCTTTGGGGATTCACGTCTCGCTCCGCCAGGCTTCGCCCTACCCTGGCCTTCTTGGTTTTGAATTACAGTTGAGCGCATATGGTCGCTCCCCCTACATTGAGCCCGACACAGCACGATTCCTACAGTGCTTCACGCCCTCTAGTGGAGGATATCTATCTATCTATCTATCTATCTATCTATCTATCTGGTCTTGTTATTTTTATCCACTTTATGGCAGTTGTCATAATGTACATTTTATTTGTTTTTACCAACATTGCCAAGTGCTGCTTCTGAAGGTTACAGCTGCCTCTAATGTAAACTTCTGACCAGATTTACATTAAACAAGTATAAATCTTTTACTAACTAGAATGTCCTAGGAATGTCCTCTTGTAAACTCCTTAGAATGCTTTGACACACCGTAATAAGGTTAAAAAATTCAAATGCAGTGTAAAATTAAGCAAGCGTTGTGCATAAGCTGGTATTCAATTACCTGCATATAAAATAAAAACAGAAAATGTATTATAAAATGAATATGAAATTGTATAGGCCTACTAACCATGATTAAGAAAAGCCTCTGTGAAGAGTAGATTGCAATAGCTTTATATATATATATAACATTTCTAAAAGATGTATAGATGATTCAATATGCTGGGCAACTGTTCAAAAACATTAGCTAGAAAACAAAGAGGACATCAGAGGAATTTAAATAAGAACTGAAGTTTTTTGTCTAAAGACAAAAATCCCCATAAAAACCAAAGCCAATTAGTGGCATTTAGATTATCTAAACTGAACATGTTCAGCATAATAAATGTCATATTATCTGAGATAGGTTCCCGTGGGCTGTAACCAAGTTTCTTTAGGCTGCTTAGTTAGATTTACAATTTATACCGAAAACAAGTGTAAAATACCCTGAACAACAGGAATTAGCAACAGGAACTGCATGTTGAACAAACACAAAGCTTTGCTATAGAACAAAAGGACAGGGTCGCTGCCAAGGTATTTGGTAGTGCTGGTTAAATATTTGTTGACCTCACAAAGTGCAACTGATTAAGAAAGACTGCACTTTTCTGTTCAGCTCCAACCGTATCTTATTTTTACTAAAAGCACCACTGCAGTGATAAAATTAAGAACTGTACAGGACAGGTGCAAAACCAGCAGTGCATACAAATTTAACAGTAAAAGCTGTGATCTTATAAATCTAACGCAATCTACAATTTACATTTAGTGAGACATTTTAAGTTTACTTGAATTTAAATAAAATACTTTACTAATATATTAGGTGGATTTTTAAGAATTAATGATTTAACCAATTAGATTCCCTGAGACTAGCATCTTCCTCCAGAGGGCGCGTGAGGGCTCAGATAGATTTTTTTTATTTATTCAAGGAACAATAACACACAATATGTTATAGGGCTCAGATAGATCAGAGAGCTGATTCCTCCACTGACCGCATTCCATTTTTTGTTACATTTGTACACTAAAATGTGAAACATTTAATTTGTTAATCCCATCTCTTAATACCTGACATGCAAATGAAAATATGGCCTATAAATCTATAAAAACTATAAATAAAAAAATATCCAGTCAACCAACCGGTAATCACACTAATCTGTGATTGGTCCGTCCGGACCAGCGCTGTAAAAAGTTTCAGGCACCACGCAAGAATCGAATCTACACGTAGCTTCTTCAGCGGTCTGTGCGTGCAATAGTTTACACCTGATTAATGACACCAGAGAAACATTAGTAGCCATCGAATTGCATTTACACCGAAGAATGAAACGGGATAATCACTATCCAGAAACATCTTTCCAGACCAATAAGAGACAACTTCCGGACCGTTTATCACCGCCCTTTCTCAGACCCATATACGCAATCTACCAGTTTATAATATTTCTGTGGTATTGACGTACGAGAGGCGTTGATTTTTACTTGCAAAGTGCTAACAGAACAGTCCTTCTCAGCTCGTAGGTAATGCTGTATTTCTTTTTATTAACCTATACGTCACAATTATTATTCACAATTTAGCAAGATTTAAAACAACTTGATTCGCTCTTGGCTCACCTCAACCATGAATGCGGTGTTGTGCAGTTAGCTCCGTTTAAGTGATGTTATCGTTAAGCAGCATAACTTGCTGGTTTCTGAAGTACCCCACATAAACACATTTTCACCTCAACTGCCTGTCGAGGAATGTAATTAATGTTAACGGGAAAACTGTTCTGTGCACCTGTAACTTTTTCCCAGGATGACCTTTAACCCGCTTTCCTACATAGTGCTGTAGCAATTATTATGCAGACTCTCTTTCTGTCTGTCTCAAGGCAATGTTGAAGGCTGTAACCAGGTGCCTTTGGTCAAATCCTGTTGCTGGCAGAAGAATGATGTCCCATCACATATCGCCGAATTTGTCAGGAAGGGTTGCTATAGTAACTGCATCCACAGATGGGTATGATGCTTTATTTCCATTCTTATCCAACTGTTCTTTAGTTTATTTTAGATCCTTAAAACAAAAGGGTGTGTAGCTGTCACAGCACAAAAAGTCATTGTCCCTCTGGTAATAATTGATAATACAACTACTAAAACAAATGTAAATATAAATTATGCATCCTAAATACTTACATAACATGCTGACAGACCCTTGTACTCACCGATCTTCTCAGGATTGGGCTCGCAGCTGCGGAGGCTTTGGGTCAGAGGGGAGCACATGTGGTCGTGAGCAGTCGACGTCAGGCCAACGTTGACAAGGCTGTGTCACTATTGCACAGCAAAAATATAAAAGTAATAGGCACCACATGTAATGTGGGGAAAGCAGAAGATAGAGACAAGCTCATTAGTATGGTGAGGAGTTGCTTTATCGCTATTTTTAGCCAATACTTAGTTAATACTTTGGGAATCATACTTAGGAATACGTGCAAATGTTATGATGAACCCAAAAATCTGTGGAAACTTGCAAATGTATAATATATATTGTGAAGAAATTTGATTTAAATGCTGTTACTTTTTATCGCAGACAATTGAACAATGTGGCGGTGTGGACATACTGGTGTCTAATGCAGCTGTGAACCCGTTTTTTGGAAACATATTAGAATCCACCGAGGAAGTCTGGGACAAAGTTAGTTATTAGCCTTGATAAACTTTTTTTCTATATATGTATATATACTGCATATATAAAATGTTAGTAGTGTCAGTAGTATTGACATTTGCTTTATGTCCACAGATACTTGGAGTAAATGTGAAAGCTTCTTTCCTTCTGACCAAACAGGTTGTGCCTCACATGGAGAAAAGAGGGTGAGAGAAAAGTGAAAAATATGAGTGGGAATAGAAAACAGAAGTATTTCAAAATACACTTTATATCTGAGCCTAACTTAGGACCTTTTCATTTTCAGGGGTGGGTCGGTTGTGATTGTGTCTTCAGTCGCAGGGTACCAGCCAATGCAAGTATGATGTTTACTTGCTGTAAAGTTTAATAATGCAACGTGCCTTATCCAATAGCACTAAAGTGGTTTCTTTAATTGGGTTTGTAAACTTTATCTGCTGTTTTTCATTCAGCACTAGTTGAGAGTTCACCTTGCTCTTGACTCTTTGACTCTTAGGGTCTGGGCCCCTATAGCGTGAGTAAGACGGCCCTGCTGGGTTTAACTCGAGCGCTGGCTCCTGATCTCGCCCACAGTAACATCCGGATCAACTGTGTTGCCCCTGGCATCATCAAGACGCGTTTTAGTGCCGCTGTAAGGATTTCCTACACCTTTCATTTTCAGAGCTTCTTGGAAACTCGTCTTTGTCTAATTATAATTTCTAACGTCAATTAGAGTCTTTACAACGTTCACCTGTATAACCCTTTGCTTCTGTTCTTCTCTAGCTGTGGGAAAATGAGAGTGTGCTTGAAGAGTTCTTGAAACAGACAAGCATAAAAAGGTTTGTTGCTGTCAAGACAATGAATGAAACTGTTTTTAAACTAATAGTACCGTGGCGCTTGAATAATCATACCTAGAATGGCATGTCTGAGAATAGCATTATCAAGAGTAGGAAACCGAATTGTTCCACTAGCATTATGCACCACAAAAAATATTACATATTTAATATATTATGCACCACTGTAGTTTTTTTTATATAGCTAAAGTGTATGATTGCATGATTAATAATGTTTAAAAAAAATCCCATTACCTGTAAGGTAGCATTGTAGTAATTGTCCACAAGCTATTCCTTCCTTTTCATAAGTTTTCATTTTTTTTGTTGCTTTCTGGTGCAGGAAACCTGATTCTTATTGTAATGTCTTGATCTCTTAGACTCGGGCAGCCAGAAGATATAGGTGGTGTGATTGCCTTCCTGTGCTCAGACGAAGCCTCATACATCACCGGAGAGACTATCACTGTAACCGGAGGCATGAACTGCAGACTGTAAGAGTGGCACAGGGGCAGTAACAGTAATCATGTACTTGTACATCAGATAGAAACCTTCTAACTCAGTGACCCAACACATTTGTAACAGCTGATGCAGAAATTCATAATACATTTACAAACGTTTAATTGTAATAAAATGATTTGTTTTGGGTTTTTTTTGCTGATTTTGTCACATTCATTTTGTTTTTTGATGTATAGTTTCCCACATCTTTCAACCAGGGAACTGACTTTTCCAGTCGTTTGGGATTACTGGTATTACTTTTAGATTTTAAAGATAAAAGTTGACACTAATTTTAGCTTAGCTTAAAAAGGAATTATAAATAGAAATGTCATTTTCCTGATATTTTCAATTTTTTTCTGATGGAGGGCACCTTTTTCAGAATTATTAATTTCCCTCAAAAATAACAAACATCTAGCAGTAAACACAATTCTTTATTTAAATATATATATTATATATAACAACAACACCATTCTACATGATACAGATAGAGAATAAAATAAATGATTATTATTAATGCACACTTCCTAAAAGCAGGTAGGTTTCCTTGGTTACAGTTGTACTACATGGTAAGAAGCTTCTGATTTTTTAATAAAATCTAAGACTTATGATTAATACAAGAATTATCTATAACAGAAAACACTGCAGCATCAAAGTCATTAAGCAAGAATGATGTTCCAATACAACTGCATCAATGTCTGCTTCCAGGAGATAATGTGGAACAAAACACAGGATTCCAGAACTCCCGCAGTGTGGGCACATATGTACCATTCTTTGTTTTGCAATACTGCTGACTGAATACCTGACAGGATATTTAAAGAAAAAAGCACAGAAGTAGTCAGATCGAAACAACCACAGTACAGGGACAGATTAAACCTAACCCTAGAACCAAGTGTTTGGAAAAGATCATTCTTAAAAGGCCTTTTTGTAAATGATAACTTTCATGTTGTTCAGGAGTCAATTAATGCAATAACCTAGTGCATATAAATAGCAATTTTTTTTTATTTTATGCAATATAGACAATGCAAATTTGTTTTTAACATAATATAGGGCCACATACACTGCAAAATTTTCAGGCAAAAACAAAAAAAAAACTTTTTGACATGCGAGTGAATGACTTAAATTTTGTGGTGTGTGTAAACAAAATGTTTGTGGACTTGCTGTAGCTGTGATATTAGTTTGGTTATTAAGTTATATTAGTGACTGGAGACATTTATAACACAAACATCTATCTGTAATCTACCACAGGGCTGGTGGAAACAACCGAGGTGTAGAGACAGATTTGTAAAAAGAAAGACACGTACCTCCTTCTCTGTGATTTGCTAACACCACTCCTGGAAAACAGAGACACACATTGCAGACTCGCTTTCAGTGAGAGCGAAGTCACTGCATTGACAACTACTACTTGCTCAGTTTGGTCCTGAACAACACTACATGGACTTAACCATAATTACCAAAGTACTCTGTGAGTACAGAACACAAGCAAGCACTCAGAAGAGCGACAGCTATATTTAGCTAGTGTGTATGTGGCCACAGGAACCCGTTGTAAATACTGTGCAACTCTCTTGAGAAGCTCTACAGACTGAATTAGACAATTGAATCTCCACTCTAGTTGCTGGTTCTACATGTCATAACACTTATTTGGTTGTTTGAATCATGCAGATGCAGTTACAAACCTTTCTCTTGACATCGTCTGTTCTCTCATCATCAGAATCGCCAACAATGTCATCTGATGACTTAACTGAGGGAGATGGTGTTTCTAAAATAGATGAAAAACCAAAACCTACACCTCTGGCATATAAAAGGCAAAAAAAAGACAAACTGTAGTTACCTGGACTACCGACTGGAAGATGCAGAACTAGGGGAATACACGGAGAGCAAGTAGAAGTTCTTAAGGAACAAGAAATTCAGATAAGAATGATCAGCTTAACAAAAAATGTAATAATTATAATAATGATTTCAAATAAATTATATTAAATTATATTAAAATAAAGTCATGTTCTTACGGTTTATTGACTGATAAAGTCAGGTGTTTCTCTGGCGTTGAACTCAAATCAATACATTTCCTCTTGCGCATCACAGAGTCACTGTTTCCCATACTGTCTTTTGAAGGAGGCTGGCATGGAGACTTTGTATTTTTCTTTTCATCAGACAGATGAATTGGACAGACAGGAAGATCGTTGTCGTTTAATCTGTGAATAACTACTCTCAGTTGGCGCTTCATGCAGGAAATGAGGAGAGCACTCATTTCTGCTTCTTGATGTGACTCGATGGCCTCAGAGTTTCTCCTAGTGGAATATTTCCTTGTAACATCTTCCCCTCTTTTTCCATTTCTAACTTCAGTCTTTTTGGGTAGTTTGTTTGCTCTCTCACTACTCCCCTTCCTACCGTTTATTTCTTCTTTGCTGCCCTCCTCCTCCTCTTCTACTTCACTGCCAGATGACTGACTGATCACTGTGACCAACATATTCCCGACAAAATACTCTTCTGGATCCTTCTCCAAAATGTGTTTTTTAGAACATGATCTTTGTTTGCTTCTGGTATTTCTGGACATTTCAGAAGCCGTTTCAACTTCTTGTCCTAAACTTGCTACCTTCTCATTGTTTTTTTGGAGAATGTCATTGGAAGTGGACCCAATCACTGGTGCAAGCTGTGACTGGGCTTCCTTCACTGCTCTGCGAGTGGTCCTGGGTGTTGACGGGGCAGGATTTGTGACCCTGTTGGATAAGGAAGTGGATTCTGATTGGATGGTCTGCAACACTCTACCCGAAAGAGGGAGGGAAAGAGAAGACAGGATCACGTCACCAGTAGATGACAGAAGAGATGCTGAAACAGAGAGAAGGAAAGAAAAAGGATGACAAGACAGATGCTAAGGGGCATAAAAGGAAAGAATTACTTGAATTAAGCAATTACTTGATCATTTCATCTCCCAGACATACCTGAGCAGAGGTGTCCGAGGCATCTTTCATGCTGCAGCAGAGTCCTGAGAAGCTGGGGCTGCGATGCAGAGCGCGCACACTCCTCCAGAACAGCAGGGGCACCGCTGAGCCATGAGACTGTCTGAATAAGACATCACAATACAAAATGGTGAGCATTGAGCATAAACAAAACAGTGGTCCTATCCCAAACGGCAGCATTAGCACTCGCAATCAGCATTTGTGTGCAAATGTGTGTAAAGGACCATGCTTGGAACTCACACTTGAAAATCTTTTATTTTTATTGAACATTAATTACATGATACATAAAGCATTACAAAATTTATCAAAAGTTCACATTGTTTAACATTGTTTTCATATTTAGGCAGTGTGCAAGAAAGTGTTTCCTCCTTTCTAAAAAGTTTAGACAATTTTACCAACAATAAAAGAAAATATATATTTTTTTAAATAAAATAAAAAGTAAACAATATTTGCATGTGATTTCCCCCCCTTTATTATTATGCCATGACAGCAGTTATTTTCATGGCATGAACAGAGTAGCTTAAATTACAAAAACAAACAACAACAACAAAAAACTCAGCAATGGAAGAAAAAATTTATCTGATATTCTTAAAAGCAATAAAAGGATTTTTGTTCTGAACCTTATTATGAATTATACCTGGGAAAGATCTGGAATTGGTAAGAGTTTATCCAGTCGAATTAGAAACTCCCACAATAACTTCTCTAGATTGGCCACATAGTTTTCTCCATAGTGAAGATGGAATTCCTCCTGGAGTCAAAGACAAAACCATATCAGTGTACATGAATAAAAGTTTGCATTAATTGAAGATTTTTAGGCATTTACCAAATTTGACCAACCAGTGAAAGATAATTTAGAAGTGCCTTCTGTCATTGACAGACAAATGATACTGTATCTAAGAAGAAAATGTATATAAATGAAAATAAAGTTTTAAAGTACTCTCATGAAAATATATCAGGTGGGAGATGTGAGTGAGGATTTGTGGAGCAGTTCTCTTGAGTTTTTTTGTTTTACCTTGAAAAACTGTTTTCTGGATGCTGCATTCTTCAAGAGAGAGTGCACCAGGGTCTGGAAGTTGCGTTTAGCTTCTTCCACCTTTTGATCGTTCCTCTGAGGATAAAAGAAGGTCCAATCCTTGTTGCTGCATGTAACTCTTGTGAAATTATATGCAAGAACACCATTTTAACTTCTAAAGAAGCTAGATGAGAATAAAACTAGCAAAACATGAGACAAACAAGACTCTGCACCAGTGTCAGGGTCAAACTCACCTTTCCGATGGGAATGGAGGATTCTTGCAGCTTGTGCAGCTCCTGGAGGACATGCTGAGCATCAGGAGGATCTGACTGACGAAGCACTTCCAAGATCATCTTAGGTTAGCAGGATAAAAAGCAAAGAAATGTCTTTACTATTTACAGACTTAAGTCTAAAAACCTTAGAAAACAACAAAGTTTCGATATATGACAACTTCACTGAATCACATGTAGCTTAAACAGTAATGGACAATGTACAGTGAATGTGTACATAACAGAATGACAAAGATGGCAGCATAAAAAGAGTACATGCTATTGGTGTTTTTTCATACGTGACAGTAATTTTCAGTAATCTCACCAGTGCCTGCAAACCAATTGTCAGCCTGGCCTGATGTCTGTAATGGAGCAGCCCCGGTACAGTCTCACAGAGTGATGTTATGGTCTCCTCCAGTTTCCCATAATGCACTGCGTCTCTCTGCAGCATCACCTTCCACATGGCTGCGGACATCAGGCGTAAAGGTGGAGCTATGAGCCGCAGTGCTGACAGAGGTAGAGGAGTGTCTGTTGAAAATAAGATCTGAAACAATTAGAACAAGCAATCTGTACTGAAACTCATTATTATTATCGTCAAGTTATCATATATATATATACACACATATACATACATAGAGAGAGAGAGAACCTAGAATTGACATTAAAATAAGGACATTTTTTATATGGTTTTATATTTCAGCATGTAAGTGATGAAAATGTCAAGTCAACTACCCATACAGACATTAATTCTAGACATTTACTGCTCTGATGTGCACATCTATATTTACATGTGCGCTTCACAGTTAACATGTCAGCTGGACTAAATCTGCATAGAAAATCCGTCGCATCTAACGACAACAAATGCACTACAGTGAAACGCATAACATACCATAATTCTTTTAATATTAGATTTTTACGAGCTTCACTGCACAGACCCACCTTCATTCATAGTGTCTGTCGCTGTTTTCATTGTCCTCTCCGTTCAGAAAATAAACAACTCTGGTGTTTTGAAAATCGCCAGTGCTGACAGAGGTAGAGGAGTGTCTGTTGAAAATAAGATCTGAAACAATTAGAACAAGCAATCTGTACTGAAACTCATTATTATTATCGTCAAGTTATCATATATATATACACACATATACATACATAGAGAGAGAGAGAACCTAGAATTGACATTAAAATAATGACATTTTTTATATGGTTTTATATTTCAGCATGTAAGTGATGAAAATGTCAAGTCAACTACCCATACAGACATTAATTCTAGACATTTACTGCTCTGATGTGCACATCTATATTTACATGTGCGCTTCACAGTTAACATGTCAGCTGGACTAAATCTGCATAGAAAATCCGTCGCATCTAACGACAACAAATGCACTACAGTGAAACGCATAACATACCATAATTCTTTTAATATTAGATTTTTACGAGCTTCACTGCACAGACCCACCTTCATTCATAGTGTCTGTCGCTGTTTTCATTGTCCTCTCCGTTCAGAAAATAAACAACTCTGGTGTTTTGAAAATCGCTTAACGTTACTTGATTCGTAAACTTAAAAACAAAACCTATTATACAGCTCGAACTAGGAGTCATCAACAACATTCAATTAAACAACACGGTGTGAAGCTTTCTGTCCTTTGATCTATAATTATAGCCAATACGCCACGTTTATAAAAACAACTGATGATTCATAAGAACGTAATGATGGTCGCGGTAGGAACACACTTCTCGCGCCAAAATGACGAAATGCTGTTACCGGTGTGAAGTATACAAAGTCGAGAGCTTTTTAAAAAAAAACTTACGCTGCGTCCCAAATGACGCACTATACACTATGCACTTATACACTATACTTATGCAATATGTACTCAACCATGTAGTGTATGAATTATATAAGGTTATTTTGTCATTCATAAACGGAGTCTGATAGCCCCTCCCCCTTCACTACGTAATTAAAGCTGCGACAGTTGAGTGCATGAAGTATTCAACATTCCACACTTCGGGTGCTTCTCAATTCTTATTTGTGCATCCTCGTTTCCTTTCAAGCATCATCAGCTGCGCTAAAGGGCTCTGCCCTTATGTTGTTAAAGTTTGTTATTTAAGACATTCATAATAAATATTAATAAAGCAAGATGCCCTGTTTGAAATATATGACATGTATGGTTTATTTAAACTGCAAATATAAATTAAAATTATTACAACAGATGTGAAGGGGAAGGAGAATGTATACATGCGTCAGGTTTTTCGATGAAAAACACTTCCGCGAAGGATACACCTGTGTATCCGAGAAGGGTCTGTCTGGGTGTATCCTTGCTCATAGCTCCTCAGGAAGCGTCCCAGATGCCCTACAAGATGGCTGAGCTCGATCGGTTTCCGGGTCATAGGATGGAGGACGGAGGAGCGAGGAAACGATGAGGGATATTGAGAAGCACCCTTCGTTTTTTCGCTTATTTAAGTGCATCATCCGGGTATTTAAAGTGCACTTTTTCTTTTTGGAATTTTCAGTGTGAACACACTACTCACACTATTTATACTACAAAACGTCATAGAATAGTGCATAAGTACGCGATTTGGGACGCACCTTTAGTGGGCACAAATGTTTTGTAGGCAGCTGTCTTTTATTTGAATGTTGCTCCTGATCTTGACAATCTGCCCAACTTTATTTGTTTTTAAATTAAAGTAATACCCTTGTTTCTTTGCTTTTTATTTTGACGTTTAGTCGAAAAATTGGTTTGGGCTTTCAAAATAAAAGTCTTCAAATTTCAAGTACTGTAGAATCCCGAGGAAAATTAACTTTAAGTGTTACAACGCTAACCAGTCTCCCTACCTACATAATTCAAATTTTGGCTCCTAAACACACAAGTTCAATCAGAGAACAGACCTTGCCCAATGACACAGGCTATCAGGATAAATCATCCAGCAAAGTCAAAGTCCACTTGGCTAGCATCACACAACACGTTATTGTCAAAAAGATATTCTCCACCATCTGTTACTCAGTTTCACTAGTTTACTTCAAACGGTCAAACAGAGGCAGAAAGAACTGTAAACAACTAAAACAGAGGTGACAGACAGAAGACCTCAACCACAGAACATTATGGAAACAACAGCCTCCCTTTTCAAGTGAGTTTAGTAACATTATTTTGCTACATATTCAATACTGTTATTTACAATATACCTATTTATATTCAGAAGTATGCTTTGAGTAAGACAACCAGATTTACATATACATTTGATCAAAGTTGTTAGTAAATAGATACAAAAATACAAATTGTCATATTTAGTTTAATTAGTTTTATCAGTGTTTGTCCTTAGCATTAACATTGGACTTTAACTGTTGGTCTCTCTCTAGACATTTGTTTCACTCCATTAACAGCTCTTTTGATAAGACAGAGTCTGATTACCGCCATGTGCTGTCTGTGCTCGTCCTACTTTTAAAGCAGTCATTGATTATTCTAGGAAAATGGGGATTTACACATCCTCATGTTGTTCCAAACCTCCATGGATTTCTTTCTACCGTGGAACACACACACACAAAAAAAGGATTTTGAAGAATCATCTTGGTCGCTCTTATCCATGCAGTTCTAAAAAACGGCTACTGTTGTTTTCAAACTTCAGAAGAGACACAAAAACACCAAATAAGTATTTTAAAAGACATTAAATGGCTTTGTGTTATAAATAGATCGAAATGCCATTATTCAAGTGATATTTTAGTGATAATCTTTCCTTTTAGTGAGCTGTGATCAGATCAGTGAGTTAGTCAGACTCGAGAATCAGATCAGTCTGATTTGTCACTTTATGAACTGGATGCTTCAGTGATCAAAAATCAAGAAAAATGTGTTTACAAATTTAGGCATAATTATTTTCCCCTTAAATGGCAAGAACAGCTAAGGGGGGCATCAAGATTTACAAGGACGTCAGTAAATAAATATCAAATTTTGATTTGTTCTATACAAAGCTTTCACATGGCTTCAGAAGACTTGACATATAGTACATACAGTAAGCCATATGAACCAAGACCAATAAAATAATTCTTCAAAATCCTTCAAAGGAAGAAAGAAAGTCATACAACATGAGGGTGAGTAAATCATCAAGCATTTGAGCATTATCGTGCTAACTTTTCCTTTAAGTGGAGTTCTTTTCTACATTGACTCTTTTGACAAAACAACCATTTTTTGTGCTCTATTTTGTCTTTGACGTTTTGCCTCCCCCTCATTCCCCATCACTCGTTTTCTCAGGTCAGTGTCTCGGCGGGTATGGTCGCCCCCTCAGCGTCCATTCAGGGTGTGTTCCTGGAACAGAGAGGTCAAAAAAGGAGTCACTGCTGGAACTCTAGAGGAGCTCAAAGAGAAGGTAGGAAGTTAAACATCGTTCAACTGGAAGTTTTGCCACTTACCTAAATGGGCTTCTTGATGTAGACACATTGGTTAATCTCACCTCTAGGGGTTTGCAGTGGTTTTGTCTGTGTGTAGCACCCCCTGCCCTGTGTTACATATGTTACACAGAAACTCAACCAGTTTTCTAGACGTCCTACAATGACCAGGATAACTGAGAACTTTTACAGACATTTATCATAAACATTTTGTACTGTGATTCTTACCTCAGGCAGCCCAGGCTCTCTTGATATCTACTGTGCTGACTTTGGTGTGTGAAGAGGATGGGACAGAGGTTGACTCAGAAGAGTTCCTCTTAGCCCTGCCAGACAACACCGTTTTCATGGCCTTGACACCTGGAGAGATCTGGAAACCTCACCCTGTATGTATGTTTGTTTTTTTCAGGCAGAATGTTTTTTCATCTTATTAGTTGTTTTTAGCTGTTTCACCACTTATCTGATTGACTTCTTCAACACTAGAAAGGTGGTAATATGCGTCACATTTATTTTTATCTTATTATGAGGCAAAAAATCCCAGTGAAATATTGCTTTGTAAATACTAAACAAATGACTTTAAAGTTTCAGTCACTTATGAATGTTGTCGTTTGTATCATTCAGGACCTCATCTTAACTTCTTCTAACCCTCCTAGTTACGTCAAAGGGCTGGAAACAAACCAGGTGATAGTAAACCAAGGACAGGAAAAGACATTGCTCAGATCACCTTTGATCTTTACCGTATGCACCCCAAAGACGTATTCGGCTCACTAAATGTGAAAGCCACATTCAAAGGGCTCTACTCTGTCAGTGCAGATTTTCAATGCATGGGGCCAAAGAAAGTTCTGAGGTAAACAGTCTACAGATGGAAACTCTAAGCATTTTAATGGTTTGTTTTACTATTTGTACAAAATACTGAATTGTATCCTACACTTCTGTTGTCTCTCAGGGAGGCCCTCAGAGTCATGTCCACTCTCCTCCAAGCTGCTGGACACTTACTGATCTCATCTGCTGCTGTGATTCGCCGTATCATCCAAGGGGCAGATCTTCTTCAAGCCCAGCATGACAAATCTATCGAGTATTGGGAATAACCGGAGAAATATATAATGGACTTGAATCTGAGATCAAGAATGTAACTGAGGGATGTTTTTTTTTTCTGGATGTTTTTTCTAAAATGTTTCCTAGCTAGGTTTATATGATAACACTAAGGTTCATTTTAACATTAAAGCATTAGGTATAATGAATGAACAACAATTTTACAACATTTATTAATCTAGGTAAATGTTAATTTATACGCCACACTTCAAATGTTTGGGTTCATTGTAATGTATTCCTCTGATGGTAAGCTGAATTTTTAGCAGCCATGACTCCGGTCTCCAACATGACACATCTCAGAAATCATTCTAATATGCTGATTTGGTGCTCAAGAAATATTTCTTATAATTACCAATGTTGAAAATATTAATATTAATTTTTTTTTTGTGGGAATCATGAATGAAGGTTCAGAAGAACAGCATTTATTTGTTAGTTGATACCTAATGCATTCAATTGTTAATGGTTTTTATTGTAAATTGTACATTGCTGGTTTAATGGAAAATTGCTCCAGGAAAATGCTTGTTTCTATGAAAACTGCTCTTTAGGAGTGTTTTTTTTATGCTTAGTCTAGGACTACCCAGTGTTACTTCTGTGTGTTTGACCTTCTTTATAAATGTTTATTTCACCTTTACCATTTAATATTTTTACGTGATAGACTGTATAATTTAATCTTCCTCATTTTGTAAGTCACTTTGGATAAAAGCATAAGCTAAATGATTAAATGTAAATATTATGTAAATACGAAATTGTCATACTAGTGAATGTTTAGAAAAAGAAAAATTAAATATAAAAATGTTTCAAGATCAATTTATTAAGTAAAACCAAACTGGTACAAAAAGCTTCAGCACAAAAAAAGGACAGTCTCTCTAGTCAGCTTACTCGATGCATAGACTAATAAACTCCATATTGAGACTTCAAGATTTGAATTAGCCTTCAAATAATAATATTAATAATAAAAATCACAAATAGTGAGATTGATTGGGGGGGAGGAAATCAAGCACATAAATGCATAGACTAATAAACTCCATATCGAGACTATTCAAGATTTGAATTAGCCTTCAAATAATAATATTAATAATAAAAATCACAAATAGTGAGATTGATTGGGGGGGAGGAAATCAAGCACATAAATTTTGTAGTATTATGTCAGCACAAATGTTTCCATCAAAGAAACATATCTGTGTAGCACACTGTGGATCTAAAAGATTGCAGTTATGTTTATAACCTTAAATACAATTGACCTTTGTAAAAGCAAACATCTACATATCTAAGCTCGAAGTGCAACTTAAACATGAAAATGGCAACACACATGCATTCGCTCTGTTGAGTCACACTGAGAACCACAATGAATAGACCTCTGATAAAACAAGCTACAAAACAAAATACATTGTACAGTCATTCAGTGCCTTGCCATATACAATTTTGTTTCAGTTACTTTAAGGTAGATATTCTAATGCTAAATATTTTTGATTCAAGTAATATGCTTAGTTTTGGAGATACATATTGCATAACAATGTTGTGAGAGGTTCTACAAGGCCCTGGATCATAGCATTAAACTGGGATGGAAATATCCAGACAGGTTAAAGGAGAAAAAAAGGTTTTGTGTAACATCTTTGGCAGTGATGTGGAATTCAGTTTCCACCTATCTGCACAGCTACAAATGCCATCGCAAACTGACTTTGCTTCTGAGGTCAGAGTTTACCCTCAGGCAAAACTGGGGTACTTCCCCTAAAAAGTTCATTCCATGTTGCGGCTTTGCCCCCTCCGCCTCGGTTAATTAATGTAGAATCACCCAAACTCAACCCAGAGCCTATGTTCTCAAATGAGACTTTCCCCCTTGAATAATTCGCACCCCTTTTCTGCTGTTGCATTATGACTGCGATGATGCGTTCCCTCTCCTCTGAGGTCATCCAGCGCATCTGATTGTGTTTGACATGATAACGCGTGTCTCCGTACCACTGGATGATCTCTGTCCGCGTCAAACCCGTCTTCTGCTGGAGTATCAGGTAGTCATCGCTTGTGGGCCACTGGCAGCGAAGGAAGCTTTGCCGCAAAATTTCCAACTGTTCCCTCGTCTTCTTACGAAGTCGCACGCTCCGTTCCACCCGGCCTCGGAGGAATGATGGAGACGGAGAAGGAGAGGCGTCTGCAGAGTATTGTTGAACGGTAGCGCTGCCGTCATCAAACTCACCTTCATCACTTACTTCCTCCTTGGTCTCATTCGATTGGTTGACTGGTCCCTCATCGTCAGCCAAATCTACATCAACCTCAATCCCTGCCTCTGTGTCATCAGCCTCACCGTTGTCGTAAAAATCAGCACTAGGTAGAACATCGTTCTCCAGCTCAGTGTGAGAGTTCTGTTGCACCAGCTGCAAAGACCGATTTCGCCTTGCAAGCTTGGCTAGCCATGCCCTGCCATTCTTGCGAAGCTGGTAGCGGCTGTCTGCGAACCATTTGCGAATTTCACGCCGATTAAGTCCAGTCATTTTCTGGAGCTGCTGAACTTCACCGTCAGAGGGCCAAGACTTCTGTACAAAACTGTGGCGCAGGGCCATCAGCTGTGCTTTCGATTTTTTCCCTGATAAGCTGTGTAGAGACTGTGAAAGCTCAGGAAGCTCGGGGTACGACATGGCGGCGTGTTGGTTGTACGATGGACATCCATAGGAATTGAGCAGATGGACTCCAGTATTGTGAGGCGTTAGGTTTCTACTGTCACTTTGGAACTGGGGACTAACTTGAGGAACTTGGGATGCAGGTCCAAGACCGTTTTTGTACACAACATTAGCGCTGAGCAACTGCTGTACACCGTTATTGGATTGGGAAGCATTATTCTGGCTAAAATGCAAGTGGTTTTGGTCACTGGTGATGTGCTGAGGAACAGCCTGGCTGGGTTTAGGCAGCTGGTCTATCTGATCTAGATGGGCATTTGCCGCAGGTGGCGATATAAAAACCTGTTGAGATTCATCACGTCCTAAACAATCCTCCTCATTGTTTATTTCCACACACTCCTCGGCTACCGCTCCTTTCTGAATGCACCACAGCTTGCGTCGCGTCTCTTGAATGTCGTCGTCAGCCCAGCTGATTCCGTAACGTACCCGCTGCATCATGAACCACGCTTTAACACGGTCCAATGGTAATGCACACTTTCGAGCTAGAGCACTTGCCTCCTGCGACGTGGGGTATGGGAATGCATTAAATGCTTCTACGAGATCTGACACGGCATCCAGCTCGTGGACCTGCTCCGAGCGCACCCAGATAAGCTTTAACCCCTCGGATACCAACGGAAGACAAACCCGGTTAGCCTGGTTGTGGGTCGATGTGCCAGAGGAGACCGCTTGCCTCTTTTGGCAGGACTCCTTAGTCCCCAAAGAGCAGGGTGACTTCTCCTGAAGTAACTCGGTGGATGAGCTCTGCGATTCTTCAGGAGCAGGTGAGTCGTCCATCTTCTCTTCCTGTTCTTTGGGATCCATGGAGGATGAGGTCTCATTTGAGACTTCGGAAGTCTGAAGGGAAGATGATCCCTCAGTGGTGTCTGGCTGAAAGGAGTGGGATCAAGAAATATAAATACAAATGCACAGTTAACATGGCACAAAAAGTTAATGGGTTATTTCCTTTCACTGCTGTAAGTCACCAATAAATGAAAAATCGACTATTATTTTTAATGGAATATGTCAGCGTTTATGATAAATGATTTATCCACACATCTTTTTTTTATTTATTTATCTCCCTCTCTCTCACCACAACGTCTCTTCTCTGATGACCAGCAACCTGCCACTCATATGACATCACAGCAATTAACGATCCAATCACTTCCTGAAGGACAAAATGAAGTCCCACCCTTCATTTTCCTCATATGAGAAGCCATTTCACTCACATATGCACATATAAAATTGAACATATATCTATATATATACACATTACACACACAGTGGGGACCAAAATTAAAGAACAACCTACAATTTCCTAAATTTCAAGGTCACTGCTTAGTCCTATTTGAAGTTATCCTAACAGGAATAAAATGGCAGTTTTTTAAGCATATTTCATAAATTAATTGTATTCGGAAGCACAGTATAAAAACTTAAATTAGATATTTGGAAAAATAACACTTACAGATACCTCCTTGTTATTGGTGTTAATCTGGCACCTGGTGCTAATTTCCTTAATTCCTTAATAAAATTGGACTGAAAGCATGCTCTCCAGCGACCAAGACTCTCATCAGCAGAAAGAATCAAAAGGCAAGGCTCACCTTTGTTGAGGAGCATGTCATGTGGAGAGAAGAGAACTGGTCCAAAGTGCACTTTAGTGATGAGAGAAAGTTTAATTTATTTGGGTCTGATGGGAAACATTTTGTTTGGCATCAAATTGGGAAATGACTGAACCCCGAGGGCGTAAAGTCGTCAGTGAAAGGTGGAGGAGAAAGTGTCAGGTCAAGGTTTGGGGTAAGTTTTCTGCAGCAGGAGTTGGGCCACTTTACAGCTACATGGCAGGGTGAATGCAAATGTTTATCAGAACCTCCTTCAACAACATGCAGTACCTTCCCTGCAAGCATCTCCCAATCAGCCTGCAATTTTCATGCAAGACAATGCCCTAGTCACACTGCAAAACAGGTAAAGCAGTTCCTTGAAGCTAAGAACAAAGTTATGGGTAAGAAACCCACTACAGTGACCGAACTATGGAAGAGAGTGGAAGAAAAGTGGACCAAGATCACATCAGCAATGTGAGAAACTACTAGTGATGTCCTGCGGCCGCAGATGTGCTGAAGTCACTCAAAGCAGGGGCCTCTACATTTCCTACTAATTTCTGCCAGTTGTAACCCTCCAAAATTTTAGTTGTAATCTTCTTTTGTGCTACAGTGGTTATGTTCTCTCATTTTGATCACTGTGTTTTCCACAAAATAAAGTTTTTTTTTTAAATTCCTTGGTTATTTTGTCAAACATGTTTGTGGAACAGTGGTATACCCACAGCTAATATTCCTTTAAATTGAGCGGTGAAGATTAACAATATTTCAGAAAAAAAATTGTTCTTTAATTTTGATCTCCACTGTATGATGATCTCCACAAATCATGCCATCCTTTTGCCAGAAACAGTAATCAATGAACTGTACAATAGTTAAAGGGGTCATATGATGCTGCTAAAAAGAACTTTATTTTGTGTATTTGGTGTAATGAAATGTGTTTATGCGGTTTAAAGTTCAAAAAACACATTTTCCACATACTGTACATTATTGTTTCTCCGCTATGCCCCGCCTTTTTGAAACGCGTAGATTTTTACAAAGCTCATTGGTCTGAAAAGCGAGGTGTGCTGTGATTGGCCAGCTATCCAGTGCGTTGTGATTGGCCGAATACCTCAAGCGTGTGACGGAAATGTTATTTTTATGACAAACAACAAGCCCTACTCTACACTGCCTAAAACTCGCGTTTGAATCATCAGTGGCAAATCCTTTAAATGAAAACGTACTTACGGCCGGGCTAGAGTGAGCAGAGGCGGCAGGGTTGAGCCGACGAACGAGCGGCAACCACATGTGACGACCCCGGGCTTCGTCCACAGCACTAAGTTGATATATTCCCTCAGCGACCAGCACAGATCAGCTCTAGGCATGACGAAGCGGATATCGTCCTCTTCTGGAAGACCAAACAAAGTAGTTTCGCTTTCACAACGAAGCACACAGTGTCTCCACGGCATGGCGGCAGCGGCAACAATACTACAGCGAGAATAAAAGTTACTCCTCCTTTCTTTGCGTGAACATTTGGGCGGCGTTATGCAAATCTTCCCACATAGTGACGTAGATATGTGGGGGCATGTTAGAGCGAGCCGTTTTAGGTAGGCGTGGTTAACTCTTAACTTTTATAAAGAACATCTCTTTGGATTTGAGACTTTAGTCTTTGCAACTTTACAGATCTTCTTTATGCACCAAGAGCTTGTAACACTCCAAAGAGAAAGGAAAAATTGAAATCGCATCATATGACCCCTTTAAGGTTACCTGAATATCCCATGAAAATTAGCACTTTAATATGTAAACTTAAAACCCAGAGGAGAGATAGGGCTATTGCATTTTCCATGCATAAATCATTTATAATAAACACTGTAACATTTGTGCATTTGTGATTGTTTTCAAACAGGTTTCCTTGAACACTCGCCACTCTCCCATTGGTCAGTCAAATAGATAGCCCCTCCCCAAATGCACACCATTGGTTGAACCAATGACACTTTACCACAGTATTTCCACTTTTACGGTAGGCATGAGTCAGAGTCTTTGCATGTAAGTCGGGATAGAAGGAATTTACATTTAAACACAACCACCATTCACAACATCATAGTGGTACACACAACTAACACACACTTATGTACATCGATAAATACTGAAATGAAAACAAAACTTTACTTACTTTATCCTTAACAATGCTCTTTTCCAGGTCACCATTTAAGCAGGGTGTCTCTACATCATCCTCACGCACCTCCTCTAACGTATCACTTCGCTCGATCCTCACCGAGTCAGAAAGTCTGGTGACAGGGTGAGCGGCGTGCAGGTGCTGACTGAGACATTTAACGTCTCGCGCTTTATAACCACAAATCCGGCACTCGTAAGCATCCTTAACTGTAATCTCCCCGGAATTTCCCCCAGGCTTTCCCGCTGGATCTGGAGGTGAAGAGTGCGTACTTGTGCTCTCGAGCTGTGGAGCTGCACACTGCTCCATGGCAACCTATGCACGACCGAGCGAACACAGACACTAGACAGTTAAATTTCTCCAGCAAAAAAATCGGTGTGCAATACTCCCGAGGAGGCAACGCGTTTCATTTGAATAAAATAATCGTACACGGAGTCAACTTTCAAGAGTTGAAGGCTGAATCCTAATTTATGGCCACACTGGTCTGAATATGGAACAAAGGCTGGCTAGCCAGCGAGCTAACACAAGAGCTTGTCGTGCTGGCTTCACAGATGCATAAAAAGTAACAAAAATAAATAAAAATAAATAAAAAATAGGCAGTTCAAATGCAAACCGGTTTATTTATTGTTTTTCTGATGTAGTTACTTGAGAAATAAGGCAATTAAAAGCGTCATTCCCTGCTGACCGCCCTCGCCTTCGGATCGCACAGTAGCCCAGTCAGTGCCTCGAGGTTTGGTTTGTCTCATCCTCTGAATGTGAAGCCAGAGCGGCTTCAAAATAAAAGTTCATTGACAGCCGCTCTCTTTTCTGTTTCTTTTGCGCTAGTAAAATAGCTTTACATTAACTAAACACTAGTAACTGTATATATACATAGACATTTGCACACATACACAGACACAAATTTAAAAATAATAATGAAGATGAAAAAGAACAAGTTATGTCTACTCAAGACCAATCCTAACAGGGATGTCCTCATTTAGAAAAACTATTAACAAATACATTAATTAGAGGTTAGTCTAGCATTTATAATTTGCTTCATATGAAAACCATAGATAATGTGTGTGTGTGTGTGTGTGTCAGTGTGATTGTACATGGGTATAGGCAGGGGCGCCGCTAGCAATTTTGGGCCCTATGAAAGAATATGAGGTTGGGCCCCCTTTTCTATTCTAATACAACAATGCCTCTGTATAAGGCAAGGTAAAAAAAAAAAGAAGATTGATTCAATCAGTGTGGAAGAACTTGACTGGTCTGCATACATGACTTGTACATACATATGGACAAAAGTATTGGGACACCCCCTTCTTCAGAACAGAAAAAGGCACGTCCAAAACTGGCAGCAAAGATGGAAACATAATTCATGTATTTAAAAATTGTATTTCCAGTTTTGGAAGTGTCTAAAATGA